TAAAAAAAAAAAAAAAAAAAAAAAACACCTAAGGTTTTGCCCAATATCACGCCATTAACGCCCCTACTTCTGGGAATGAGGGAGGCAAAATGGTGAGGAAATAACCAGACCCTTTCCCTTCCTATCCCTTTCTCAGTTCCTTGTGCCGGCACCCATCGATTCCCACGACTCTCGAATCCTTAATCAAAATCCGAAGCAAGTAATGCCGGATCAACTAATTGTAAGTCGCATACATCTCTTCGGTGACTTGAATCCTCCGTTCACGTTGAATTCAAGTACTGAAGTTACTATTCTATTTCTTATAGGTTGATTTTGATATACAAACGAATTGATCTAACTAGTTTATGAGAATTAAAAAATTTTGGTTTAATAGCTACAGCTGGCCCTAGATTATGCTTATGCTCTAGAAGTTTATATTAAAGAGTTTCCTGCTTTGGAGTTGCAATTTCCGGCTTGTTTAAATTAGCGAAGTTCTTTTTTTTTTTTTGGTTTTTATGCTTTCAGCTTTTCGGGAGCTATGGTTCAATTTGTGCTAGAAATGGTGAGAGTTTAATGGTTTGGTTTTACTGTGAATCTGCTTCTTCTGTGCTCAGTTTGGATTGAAATTCCTTGTGTCATTTATCAATTTCAGCTGGTAACGTGAAATGTTCAATGGTAGCTTTTCCATTGAACTTGCGTTGCTTTAAATGAATAGAATGAAAGCTATTAATATTGAACTTTGGATGCTGAATGTATGTAATTTGCTTTTGTCTAATCATATCTTAATTTGTTTCCTTTATCCAAATGGTTTAAGTTGACAAGTTTTCATTCTTTTCACCTTTTTTATACAGATTCACCTGGTCATTTAATTTGTTCCATGGGGGAGCTGGCAGTTGATAAGCATGTTCAGTACATTATATCTGTGGAAAAAGTGAGTAATATAAATTTCTCCTGCTTCCAGGTTTCTTTTAAAATAATTTTATTCAACTATTTAGCAAATTGAACTTTCAAAGTTGATTCTTAGTAACGTATTTAATATTTCTCTCAGAGGAAGGATAGTTTTGAATCTGTGGTAATGGAGCACCTGAGAATGAATGGGGCATATTGGGGATTAACTACTCTGGATCTTCTAGGAAGGCTAAATGCTGTTAATGCCAATGAGGTTTTATCATGGATCATGAAATGTCAACATGAATCTAGTAAGCATAAAACATGTCTTTTCATTTTCTTTTATATCTTAGATATTCCATTCTATTGACCATAAACAACTACTAGTAGCCATTCCTAAATTTTTCTTGTTTTTGGTTGACTTTTGAGGCACTTATGACGATTTAATTACTATTTTTAAGTTCTCTAAGATCTAAGTTTTTGCTAATATTAGTAAAATTTTGTGCAGTCTCTATAAGTTGAAAGATCCAGAAATAAAGTGTTTGGATGATTACAATAGAATATCATTAATACTTTATTACGCAGGTGGGTTTGCCGGTAATGTTGGGCATGACCCACACATACTGTATACTCTCAGTGCTGTCCAAGTTTTGGCTCTATTTGACAAGCTAGATGTTCTTGACATTGAGAAGGTTGCAAATTGTATCCTCTGGCTTTCAGCATTTCTTCATGTTTGGCCAGAAATTTCTTCTGTTTTGGCCTTAAGAAATAGTTCTTTTGGGGAAGTTATTCTAATACCAATTTCGCCAAATGTGCAAATTGCCCCCAAAATTATTACTTTGAAGCAAATCACCACCCAAAAAAAATATTGACGCAATTTGTCACCTCTAATTTCCATTTTCAAGATATTTGAAGTCTAATGGAAAGTTAACGGTAACCATTAAATTTGAGCTGATTTTTTGAAAATGGAAATTTAGGTGGCAAATTGCGTCGACATTTTTTTGGGTGTTCATTTGCTTCAATGCAACAATTTTGGGCAGGAATTTGCACCTTTTCATTACCAATTTCCATCTCTTTCCTGATGCTTTTCATTCACTACTTAATTCTAAATCTTAGTTCCCTTCATTATTCTTCTAAGTTGTAATAAATGAGAGGTTCAGGTATTGACATGGTAAGAGACAGAGATGCCTTCTTTTAGTAGAGCAAAATACCTGTATCTCTCCCTTTTTAGTAAGAGTTTGGTGTTGGCTACACAATTGACCATTTGACCAATAGCTTTAGATTATGTTAAAATGAGCCGTTTTCTTGTTTGGCTTAATCTATAATCTAGATATTTCTCAGCTACAAAACGAAGATGGGTCTTTTTCTGGTGACATTTGGGGTGACATGAATACACGGCATGTTCTTCCCCAATCATCTTTTATTTCTTCATATTCTGGTATTAAAGCTCTCTATTAGCAATTGAATATCGTTTTTGATTTTTAGTTTCTCTTATATTGCCATATGTTGTCTTTCAATATTACACTGTCTGGAGAAAATCAATGTGGACAAAGCTGTCAACTACATTCTAAGCTGCAAAAACCTGGATGGTGGTTTTGGATGCACGCCTGGTGGGGAGTCCCATGCAGGGCAAAGTAGGTTCTATAATTTACCTGATCTGCAATATTGTTGTGTACACATGCAGTGATCAACAACTATATTTAATTTCCATGTCCATTCCAGCTGTCTATATGCTTGCTTACTGTTTTGCCAAATGGCCTATGTGACCTATATTTTGAAGTCAAATTGTCTCTTTTCCTGCCAATTTGCCGTAAGCGCTTGCATTTTAAACTGCTTCTGAAGAATGTTGATGATACAACTGAGAAACATACTCCGGCTAGATCTAGGAGATTGGGGTACAGGAGAAGATTAAATTAGGCTAATTATAATGGCATTTTTAGATGTGTAGACTGTAGAGTCCCATAACTAATCCTAGCCATAATTCAAATTCATATCCACCTAAATGGATAATGCCTATCCATTTACATCAACCCCATAACAAACTTGGTCTAAACTCAAATCTTTGTATAACACTATAAATGTGTCATTCACTTCAAATTGAACTTTGAGTCTTTGACCCTTAATTACAAGTAAGCTTTAATTCTTTCATGCAGAATTAGAATTTGGAATTTTCACCATTGCAAAATCTGAGTTTTCAGACTGAGATGTTACTAAATCCAGGCACTTCTGTATCTCTCACTTTCTATTTTTCTTAACCTTAAGCATGCTGAGAATTCATCTTTTATCAGTAAGAAGGCAAGCATGTTCATATTCTTGATATTTTTAGTAAGTGTACAAATACAAAGAATGTAAATGAGTTAGTGATCATTTGCCTAAATGCTTAATGCAATAGTTGTTGTACACCTCATCTCATCTTGAAAATTTTTTGAAAAGCTAGTGATGGGGAAACAAGGAAAGAGCTGAATTTCCTTCTTTGGAGAGATATCCATGGTTTCTTTAATTTTTATTATTTCAAATATCTTTATATCAAAATTAAAGTGAAAAATCAATATGAAGTTTTCCTGTCATCATGACTGCAGTCTTCTGTTGTGTTGGTGCTCTTGCAATAGCTGGGGCTTTGCATCATGTTGACAAGGATCTTCTTGGGTGGTGGTTATGTGAAAGGCAAGTCAAATCTGGAGGTCTGAATGGCCGCCCTGAGAAACTTCCTGATGTGGGTATCCTTTCAAAGAAACATTTTTATCTTGCAGTTAAAACCTCATAGACTCTTCACACCATAATGTCTTGAATCACTTCAATCGCTTCAGGTTTGCTACTCATGGTGGGTTGTTTCCAGCTTGATCATGATTGACAGAGTTCACTGGATCGATAAAGACAAGTTAGTTAAGTTCATCTTGGACTGTCAGGTAGTCAAATTAGAGGGGCCTCTATTTCTTTTCTCCTTTTTTTTTCCTTTTTTTTTAATATATTTTTAACCCTATAATGTTATCTCTCTTGGATTGATTTCCACTTTCCGGACGAGGTGGAAGTTTCAAACCCCAGGCCAGCCTTTTCCCCTTTTCCCTTTAGAGAACAATACAGTTGTACCAATTGCCTTCTTTCAAAAATAAAAATAATCCTTCTAGGATTTCAAGTTTTAGTTGTCAAGCGTGATATTCACAAATATCTTGCTGTTAATTGTTGAAATTTCAGGACTTGGAGAATGGTGGAATTTCAGACAGACCTGATGATGCCGTTGATGTCTTCCACACATATTTTGGAGTTGCTGGTATTTGATATTAGCTTAATTATGCCTCAAACATTAGCATTTTCTTGTGATCGATTAATCCTAATCCATCGGATATTTTCCATTTCCATGAAAAGTTTACCCACTGATTTCAGACTCTGCTTTTTCTAACAGATTTTATTGTTATTCAATGAAGCACTTCCAGATTGTATAATTATGGATTTTTTTTTTTCCTAGTATGGACATCCATTCATATTTTGTTGTTGATGCAGGGCTTTCACTTCTTGAGTATCCAGAATTGAAGGCCATTGACCCAGCTTATGCATTGCCAGTTGATGTTGTAAATAGAATCTTCTATGCCTGATTATTGGATGTTAATATTGACATATTTCTATATGTCACAATTAGTAATTGGAAAGTTTATACTATTTGTCCTAATTATTTATTTAGGGCACTTAAATTAGTTGTTTATGTTTTAATGGATTTATTTTTATTTTATTATAATTTTAAAAAAATAATTACTATACATATTATATAATAATTATTTATACTAATTAGAATTAATTATAAATTTTTATCAATTAATAATTATAATTCTATTTTATTAGAAAACAAAACTAGACTGACTAATAGTATAAGAAATTATCTAACTTGTACTTTTAAGGTACAAATAAAAGGGGTATAATTAATACATTTTATTATATTAATTGTTATAAAAAATAACAAAAATTATCATCAATGTTACATGTATTGTTTTAAATTGACATTGATTAAATAAATGTCTAATTTTTTTTAATGATAATTAATGTTAGAAAGGTGTTTTTAACCTATCATTAGGGCAGTTCGGCACCTAAGACGGGGTTGTATAGGATACATTCAATAGGATTAGATTGGATTAGATGGATTGAGATACACATTTTAAAATCCAATCACAGGTTTGGCTTATTATTAATATAAAATAATATAAAATAGGATGGGTGATAAATATTTACTTGAATGAACAAAAATAACCTCACATTGTAATCAATTTTGTATTTTTATACTATTAAAAAATTAATTTACTCAAATTAATAGCCAATGACCTAAATAACTTAGTGGTTATCTTCTTTCACTAGAAGTAAAAAATCTTAAGTTCAAGTCATATATCATGCAAGTGTGATAAAATAAGGGACGAGAGACGGTTACCTCTTATTGTGCAATCAAGGTAAAAAAAAAAAAAATTACCCAAATTAGTAAGTAATTTGGTGTGATGAAGTTTTTTTTTGTTTTTAATGGGCTGCTGTGATTACTCTAAGTTAAGAATTAATGAAAATGAAAGTAAATAATCATTAATTAACGAAAAAAATATATCAAGCACATTACAAAGAAAGAAAATTGAAATATAAAAAATTCCCCAATTAATCAAACCACCAACATGGATTTTTTCCTCTCTTTTCTCGGAAACCAAGCAATAAAACCATCACAAGAAATTCTAGCAATTAAAAAAAATCATAAAGATGAACAAGGCACCATCATAATTCTACAATTAAAATTAGTTCAGATTTTTTAACCTCCCAATTCAGATTTACAGTACAAAACTATCACAAAAATCCAATCTCTTTCATGTTTTCTTTTATTTTCTTAGAAACCAAATAGCCAAGACCACAAAACAATTCTAACTATCATTATGAAGCAAACCCAAATTTCAATTACCTGCAAGTGAGATTAATTAACGAATTTTCTATAATCATATGAATTTCATTACAAAAATCAAATCACAATTAAATCTAGAAAAATCAAATCTCAATTTGCTTAAAAGGAACTTGATTTGCAAGGCTAAGATCTACAAGAGAATCAACAATTGATGAGAGCAAAGATTTTGGAGAACCATTCAACACCGTTGGCAACCACACTAGAAAAAGTGGAGTACGATTTCTTACTACTTATTTTGCTTGGATCTTTAGACTAGATAGAAATTGAGGAAGGGGGAAGAGAAAGAGATGGGGAAGGAAGAAGAAGAAGCACAAGGAAGGAGGAGATGGTTTTGATTGTTGACGGAGAAGATGGTTTGGAATGAAGCTAGCATGTTTCAAAAGGGGCGAAGGGAAGAAAACGATCAAGAAGAGGGCAAAAGCTTACTTTTAACCCTATATCTTAATAAATTTGTAGGTTTTAACCCCTCACTTTATAATATGACACTTTTAGCCCCTCACATATATGAATTGAAGAAAATAATCCTCCTTTAATATTAAGTTATAATGTTCTATTAGTTCTGTTAGTTGACTGTTGATTCTTTTAGCTAATTGTTAGCATCCGTTAGTATTGCATTATAAAGAACATGAAATTTAAATTTAATTTTATTTGTTAATTCCATTAAAGAAACACTAATGGAATGCTAACAATCAACTAACAGAGTTAACATTCAGTTAACATAACTAATAGAACGTTATAACCTGATCTTAAGTAATGGTTATTTTCTTTAATTCGTATAGGTAAGAGGCTAAAAATGTTATAATATAAGGTAAGGGGCTAAAACCTACAAACCTATTAAGGTAAAGAGCTAAAAGTGTCATAGTAAGGTGAGGGGTTAAAGCCTACAAACTTATTAAGGTAAAGGGTTAACAATAGGTTTTAGTCTAGGAAGAGGAAAAGGGTAAAAATTGAAAAAGAATTTATCCTAATGTAACTCTTGGGTGACATGAGATAAATTTTATTTAATAAGGAAAGGATACAAGTAACAATGGGATAAACATCATCTCATTCATTTAGACCACCAAACATGGGATATAGTATGATAGGACAAAAAATGTGTCCTATCCGACTGTATGTCTAGAGCTCCAAATGAGCTCTTATAGCACAAGTTAAAAAAATTGATAGTATAATACAGAGAGAGTACCTTCTTTTTTTCTTTTTCTTTCTCTTTTTTTTTTTTTTTGAAAATGGAGGGAGTACATGAAAAGAGTTCTCAATTTGGTGGCCTTGTAATTTTATCTTAAACACATTTGTGTTAATTTTCTTCCTCCCTCTTATATATATATATATATTGACCTTCCAGTATTTACAAGCCACATTAAAGTCTAATTAATCTAGAATCAAACTGTGTCAGACGCCATAAGGGGGGAATCTCTCTCTAACACCTATTTCTCTATTATAAGACTCAAATTTGAACCTTATTGAAGGAGAACTGAACTATTTCTACTTGAACCAACAAGTTATTAGCTCCTCCTTGTTTATTAGAACTAGAGGAAACTTATTATTATTATTATATTATAAAAATTATTAATAAATCTTAAATAAACACTCAATAAACCTTTAAAAATCCTCAATAAATTCCTTAAGAATCTTGAATAAATCCTTTAAAAATACTTACAAAATCTCACATAAATACTCAATGAGCCTGTCTTAAGAATTTAAAGCCTATCTCAAATTTAAAAGTTTAATATTTCAATTCAAATAGTATATTACTACCCCACTTTAATCCAATTTATAGACTTTAATTCAAATTCTAATTAAATTTGAATTCAAATTTTAATAATTATATTATATATAGAACTTCTAAGAATTGCATTATTATCTTGCTTTTTTTTACTACATTATAAAAATTACTAAATTCTTTAATAAATCTCTTTAAAAATTTCAATAAATCCCTTTCAAATACTCATAAAATTGTAAATAAATACCCAATATGCCCCTTAAAGAAAATTTATTGCAGAGGTTAAGCTCCTATTAAGTCCAATTATATTTGACTTTTTACTAAAATTCTATTGAAAAGAAACTTTTAATTAAGTTATTATATATATTCAATACTCCAATTATATAACAATCTAACTTCAATTATATTTTAATCGTTTTATATTTCACTTCAGTCCAACTTCAATAAAAATACATTGAACAATAACATTGGAAAGAAAGAAAAAAATAGACAAATAACATTTAAATAATAATGAAGAAAAATAACAAAATTAAAATTTGAAAAATCTATAAAGTGAAAAAAGAAAGAAATTAAAAAATTGATAAAAATAAAGGAATAATATATTTAAAAATGATAAATTTTAAAAATTAAACAAATTAAAATTTAAAATGAAAATTCAAAAAATAAAAAAAATAAAAGAAAGATGAAAATTAATAAAATAAAAGAATAACAAATTTAAAAGGGATAGATTTAAAAAGAAAAAGTAAAGGAATTAGATAAAGTAGAATAATTAAGATCAATATGAAAAGTGAAGATATAAGAAATCACTAAGAAAAAACAATATAATTGAAAATAAATTATTAATATAGAGTAGAGAAAAGGGTGAATGTAAAGTAAAGAGATAAATACAATAGTAGAATCTAAGGGTAAGAATTTGAAAGATGAAGTGAAAAAAAAAATTAATGAGAGAAATGGAGTAAATGTAGTTGAAAAAGATCCAAAGAATAATATCAAAGGTAGAGAAAGAAGAATTGGGGTAAAAGAGAGATATAATAATCAATGAATGGAACATGGAAGTGCAAGGAAATATGAATGACTAAGAAAAAAAATAATAGAGATGGGAGAATATTGAGCAAAAAAAAAAAAAAGATAATAACAAATACAATACAAAAATATAAAAGGGAATAGATGGGAATGTAGGGTAAAAAATATATATATAATGATAAAAATGTGATGGGGAAGCTAGGAGATGGATTTCAAGAAAAATTAAAGAAATAAAGTAAATGTAAGTGAAAAAGTACCAAACAATGCTACCATTTATGTTTTGACTCAATTATAGACAACTAACTAGAGAAAAATTAAGGTAAAAAGAACTGTAATGATAGTTACATATGCAAGAAGTGATCATAATAAAACCACATCAAAGGAAGGATAAGGAGAGAGAGATTAATGATATATGAATAATTAATATACTGAGAGGCAAAGTGATGGTGAATGTAGAGTAGAGATAAATATAATGATAAAATGTGAGGGGGTAAGCTAAGTATAACACCTCGAATCCCACATCGGTGGAGACTTGTTAAGGAGTCTGATATATAAGTGTAGAATTCAACCATTACTAATAATCTAGAACAACTTGAACTTGAGTTTTTGAGGGCCTATAAACCTTGGCTTGAAGAGTTGTTAGGCTAGAAGTGAGCTTCGGCTTCAACTTGGGTTGTTTTACTGAGTGATGGAGTCTTAAAAAAATTAATGAAAGGTGAAAACACAAAGTAGTAATAAGTAAAAATGTATAAGAAAAAAATACTAAAAAGCTTTACTTTTTATGTTTTGATTTATAACATTCTAATTACAATCTTTATGTGTGAATAGTCAAGAGGAAAGAAAGGGTCGTAAATAATAATGAAAGGGGTGTCACGTTTGGACAAGCGGGGAATTATAGCTCAATTAGAACCAAAACATTTGAATTTGTTTCACAATGAGTTAATCTAAGACAGAACTAAATGAAGAAATATGAGGAGATATACCAATATAGTATAATATAGAGAGAAAGTACAAAAAGAAAGAAGACATAGGAAGGATAGGGCAAAGAAAAATAGAGATGGAAAGAGATGGAGAAATATGAAAGGATGTACTTACACTGTTGGAGAGAAAAGGTGAAAGGGAAGAAAAAAAATTAATGAAATAATATGAGAAAAATCACTTCATGCATAATAAACAATGAGTGCAAATCTTAAAATTTATAGGACTTACATGTGTTCTAAGGTGTGCCCTACTTAATGGCATATAGTTGAACATTAATTTTATTAAACTAACAATCAGTAAATTAATTAGGTGTTAATGTCAATTATGTGAAAGTTAATTAAAATTAAGATTGTCATATCAATGAACTAAAAGCTTATTTTTCACCATACATAAATTTTTTATTTTATTAAGTACATATAAGGTTAATAATATTAATTTAAAGTAATTGCTTTAAAGTATTATTATTATTAATTAATTTCCATAAAGAGTCAATCTGAACCAACTACATTGTGGATTTGAAGTCTAGTTTGATTTAAAAGTTTTATGTATTAAAGATATTTGTTAATGGACTCTCTTTACTCTTAATATACACTAAAAAAAAAAAGAATGTAATGTTTTAAGATAGTGTAATTGCAATGAACCAAAGAGTCTCCTTCAATCCAAGTCTTCTCTTCGGGTGAACCTACAAAGCCTTAAGGTTGGTCCTCGGGGTAAACACTCCAATGCCTAAGTTAACAATAATCGGGTCTACCTTAAGAAAAACTACAAAAGAAGCTTTAGGTCGATTTCAATTACCTTTTCAAGATGACCTTTGGGGGTATTTATAAGCCTTAATGAAGTATCCACATTGCTTGTGTAATAAGATAATTAGAGTTTGACATGTCCAGTGAGGCGATGATCTCAAGGATAGAGGATTGGGTATGGGCATGCTCATCGTAATTATCATACAATTGGGGAGAACTAAATTTAAACCTTATCTCAGTTGTCGAGTGACCGAGATCAAAGAGTTGGAAAAAGGATTGAACTTATCAAATACACAGTACATCTGAGATTAGTAATCTTGGACTTGCCCTTAACCTGTCCTTACACTATTCCCCCCTCAAGTCATTCACTTGTGAATGACTGACCTGAGTAGTTAAAGTGAATGTAAAGAGCATGTGTGGCCAAATTAAGAATGGTTGACATAAAATCACATGACAGAAAGTTATTTACGCCCTTAAGGTACAAATGCACGACATGTAGTCATGTTATTATGACTGTAGCCAAAGTAAATGTGCCTGAAACATAGTCATGTTATTATGGCCTTAGCCGAAGTAACAATGCATGACACATAATCATGTTATTATGGCTGTAGTTGAGATAAGAATGCATGACACGTAGTCACGTTGTTACGACCATAGCCGAGGTAAAAATGCATGACACGCAGCCATGTTATTATGGCCATAGCCAAGGTAAGAATGCATGACACATAGTCATGTTATTACAGCCATAGCCAAGGTAAGAATGCATGACATGTAGTCATGTTATTATGATTGTAGCTAAAGTAGAAATGCATAAGATGACAGCTAGAGGTGAAGCACTTGTAATAATAAGAGATATATTGGTGTAAGCAGAAAGACTTGGGCTGGACCTAGTTGGGCCCACATAATAAGCCTAAAACGGAGTTAGTACGTGATACGACCAAAGTTGTTAATGCCGTACTGACATACGTACTGATTTTGTTACTAAAATGCTACGTATTGGATATCGAAATTTTTTATGTACCATTTCGGATTTATCACTATAAATATATATTTTTTTATAAATTAAATATCAAATTTTAAAATAATGATAAGAGAAACTAATTTTTAAAACCATCATATTCCTATAAATTAAAAACAAGTTTAAAATAACCAATTTTATAAAATATCCATAATTTTTTCCTTTTTTTTTAATATTAAGATAATATTAGAAAATATAACAGTGTTCTAAGTTTAATATTATACAAAACATTAACTTTGAATTGATTAAAAAAATGTAATTTTCATAGTTGATGGACTAAAAAAATACATAAAAAAGTTAAAGGATGAAAATTATGTAAACGTTAAAGTTGATGACCAGAAATGAAATTTCCCTTTTTTAAAATTTGAATTCATTTGTGCATACCCATTTTCAATGTACTGGCTGATACGTTAAAATACTGATCGCTACACCAAAATTTGACCAAAACGGGCGAAATTTGACTAGAACAAAATTGAACGTTGTACCATTTCAGTTTAAAGAAAAAGCTGGTACGTACCGATCGGTATGGTACATAATTAACAACAGTGGATACGACAGTTGTCCTTGAAGGACGTACGTAATAAATACGGGTTGTAAAAAGTAACTATCATTTGAAAGGGTTACATTAAGAATTAACCGTCGATTTTGAAATAGTGTTGTTATGACCGTCAGATGGAATTAATCGTGGCCGTTGAGGCAAATACATGTATTAGTATATATAGCCAGACTTGTGTAAATTTTTATGACTTTGTTGTATTTACTACTGACGTGCTGTCAAAATTCCAACAGAGCTAGTAGAACTACTAAACTCCTATGTGCGATGTATTTGGATTCAACACTAAGTTCTACACTACCGAGATCAAGTAACTTACGAGTTTTGTTGATTCTAATATTAATAAAGAGTTTTATTCTCCTCTCACCTTTCTTGACTTAGATCTAGGTCCTCTTAAAGAAGTTAGATTTAGAAGTGAGAGTGATATAAAGCATGAGTTAGAGTTTATTGAAGATCCTGACTACATCCCCTCTCCTACTCCGTGTAGTGAAAGTTACAAAATGGAAGATATGTCATCAAAAGAGACATTGAGTGTTGGGGGAAGTGAGGAAGTTAGGGCCATGGAGCATGAGGAAATGGGTCTAGAAACTGAATCATTTGGGTCAGAGAGGACGGAGGAAGAAATGGGTAAGGAGGAAATGGGTGACGAAGGGATTCCTTTGAATATTTTAAAAGTTGAGGGGAGACAAAATAAGTGTTATGAGGATTCAACAAATATTGTTTCTAGAGTGAAGGAATATGAGGCGGAGTGGAATAGTAGAGATAGTTTGGTACACTTGGTTGAAACATACAATATTCCACCTCGGGTTTTGGTTAGACCTGTCGGAGCTAGAGAAAAGGCATGGTCTGCGCCAAAGGATCATTTGATGCCCATTTATACCCACTTATGCCCACTATTTAGCAGCAGGGTCATGGTTTTTTATTCCCAAACTTCTAGTTGGGTTGCTATTAGATTATAATGTTGGTTTAACCCAGCTTGTCCCTAACACCATTAGGTTTGTGGTGGCATTTTTAGTATACTGCCAGGCTTGGGGTGTTAAGGTTCCTACAGTAAGCAAGTTTAAATACTTTTTTATGATTAAGGCTGGAAGTAAGAAAGAGAATGGGTGATACTATTTTATAGACCTAGTGTCTAATAGAGAAAAGAGGAACTTGTTTAGCTTGGGCCCTTCTTCCATTAAAGTGATGGGAATCAATATGACCCCACATGTACCATGTTAAGAGATCCATTACACATTCCATCATCTAGGATGGAAGGAAAATTTTTTCTTTGTTAATGACACTGAGTGGGAAAAGAGAGATGCAAAAGTGGAACTAATGTCCACTTGGAAAGTGAAGAGAGGAAATCAAAATAAGTATAGTTTGAATATGGATGAGGAGGAAGAAGTGGAGAAGTTGGTAAGGAAGGGAGAATGTGATAGACATTATGTATCTCACCAACTCCAAAGCTATAGACGTAGCTTAGCTCTCTGGAGCAAGCTCATTAATTGAATGTGTGTGCTTGTTTTATGTTCTAAGTTTGAAGTCAGGTTCTAATAATTATTTTAACATTTTGTAATCTTGCAGCCAAAATGGACAAGTTCCTTTCTGTAGTTTAGAGGGTGCTTATCCCAAAGAAAGCAAAAAAACTCAACAACTAGAGGGCAAGGAAGAGCTAGGAGCGACAAACAAATGGGGTAGCCCTTCAGCACATCAATCTGAGCTCTAGAAGTTGAAAGGCTAAGACTAGAGCTCAAACAAAAGGGAGGTGAAAAAGTTGGTGCTGCTTAGAGGAAAAGAAGGGTAGAGGAGCAGGAGGAGGAAAAGAGAGATGAGGTGGTGGAGTTCGTTCCTCGTCCACCTCTGGTTGAGCTCGATCTAGAACTCAATAAGGTTTGGGTTATAACCCATGGTAACGGAAAAGAGCTTATTCCTCCCCCTTCCCCCCTCTCATAATAGAGTAGTTTCTATGATACCAAGAGCAAATCAATTGCAACGAGGTTCATATATGCCATTTTCCCCAAAGTGGATCAGCATCAGGCCAAGGACGAGATGTTGACTCATGGTGGAGTTGGTGTTGTTCACCATGTTCTTGAGGTATAGTTGATAATTGTGACTTTCTCTTCTTCTCTTTTTTTATTTTATTTTATTTTATTTTTGATGGTGTTGCATGTTGCAGGCTACTAACCTAGTTAATGCTCTATCGAATGAGTTTTTTGAGAGCCTCAAGGGCCGCAACAACCTTAAGAAGGAAAATGAAGAGCTCAAAAGAAGGAAGAAAGAAAGGGACAAGGATGTGGAGGAGTTGACCTTGGAGGTCGAACGACTCCAAGAAGAAAATGATAATTTGAAGAAGTTACTCCACTTCAAAGAATAGAAGAGGAAGATCCGTGAGAACAAAATAACAAATCAAAATAAAGAGATTACTAGGGTGAAGAAGGCTGCTACCGAGTTGGAAAAGAGTGTAAATTTGCGGGTTCTCAATGTGATGGAGAACCACATCGCTAAATTCCTTAAGTCCAGCATGTTTGACAACATTGTGAATCTCTACCAACTTCCCACAACGATTCTGGCCTTCACGGCTTATAGAAAGAAGGTGAAAGCGCAACATCCTGAACTGGATGTGATTGGTATCACCTTTGGAGAGCAAGAAGGAGGAGTGGAGGAAAATGGTGAGAGCATGACAGTTGACTTCCATCCTGAAGTCAAGTTGAAGTGGGATCATGATAATGAGGGTCGTACTATTTTCCCTTTTAACTTCAACTTCAAGTTCATTGCAGTTGAAGAGAAAGAGCCAGAGATTGGAGGCATAGAGGTTGGGGAAAATCAATCGGAACAAAAGGTGAACTAGTAACCTTCACCAACAGAGTAGTCGACTTACTTTAATAATTTCTTTATTTTGATTTGACATTAAACAGTTTATTTGAGATATTACTGTAATTTTTATACATTTAGTTCATTAATACATTTGTAATTTGTTTTGTTCATCTGTTTCATTTCATATTTTTTTAAAACAAGGAATGAAATAAATTTTGGAATCACCTTAAATATGAGGTGGGATTCACATTAATGGAATATAAGTTCAAGAATTGAACAGAATAACAAATTTGTCTTGGACATAAGAATAAAAAAAATGTAAAGCAAAATTGGATAATATCCACTTAGGGGATTGAATTAAGGTAAAATTTCTTTAAGTTGTTGACATTCCAGACTCTAGGGATCCTCTTTCCCATTGCGACTTAGAGAATATAAGCACTTGGATGTGGCACCTCGATCACAATATAAGGGCCTTCCCAGTTTGGGGCTAACTTACCAAAATGGGTTTCAAACCTTGTGAGACCATCTTTCCTAAGAATAAGGTCACCAACTCTAAATGTTTGAGGATGGACTCGTTTGTTGTAGAAGTTGGCCAACTTCTGCTTGTATGCCAATGTTCGAAGTCGAGCTTCCTCTCTAACTTCGGCAAGTAGATCAAGGTTTTCTTGAAGCAGTTGTCCATTTTGTCCTTTATCGAAATGGGTGACCTTGAAGCTTGGGATTCCTATTTCAATAGGAATATTGCTTCGGTACTAAAGGCCAGTTTATATGGTGTCTCACCTATGTCATTAAGTTACTGTTTTAGCATATGATTTACATGTTTTATATGTTTTAACTATAATTGAAATAGCAGGAAATAGAATAAAGGAGTACGAAAATAAACCAAGTCAGAAGATGATACTTATGGCAATTCGGCTAGTGGTTCTATATGCTTATAGCACATTGTTGAGCTCATCTGCCCACTTGACCTTATGCTACTCCAACCTCAATTTTATTCATTCTTGAATAGATTTATTGACTAATTCCACCATTCCATTGGATTCTGGGTGGTACGTCGAGGTAAATTATAACTTAATTTCATAACTAGAGTAGAAATCTTTGAACGAAGCACAATTGAATTGTGTTCCATCATCAGAGATGATTTGGTTTGGAATCCCATATCTGCAGATTATTGAACTAAACATGAAGTCCTCAATCTTCTTGGAAATTATGCTAAATAATGGTCGAGCTTCAACCTACTTTGTGAAATAATCCACTCCAACTACCTGTTACACCTCCAACCCCTTTCACAAATGAACCCAAAAGATCAAGTCCCCACTGAGTGAATGGGCATGGTGTTATGAGATTTGTGAGCTCTTTTATCCATTGATGAGTTAAATGAGCAAAGAATTGGCACTTTGAGCACTTTTGCACAAATTCTTTGGCATCTTTTTGCATATTATACCAATAGTATTCTTGCCTAAGAACTTTGTGAGCTAATGTCCTGGCACCAATGTGACTTCCACAAACACCCTCATGCATCTCCTGAAGTGCACATTCAGCTTCATAGGAGGTCAAGAAACAGAGTAAAAGGAGTGAGAATGATCTCTTGTAAAGGACCCTATCAACTAGGGTGTACTACGCTGACTTTCACCTCAATCTCATTTCTTCTTGTTTATCCTCAAAAATTGAGCATTCTTATAAGAACAAATTAATCATATTTGTCCAAATTAGTGTGTGTGGGTCTACATTAATTTCCATCACCCTCAGCTATTGAAAACTAGGCTCATTGCGAACTTCAACAAAGACTGATCTCGTAACACAAAAACTGTCAGATGTAATCTTTGAAAGGGAATTTGCCTATTTGTTTTTAGATCAAGATATTTTGCTTAGAAAGAATTTTTCAAATTTACACCTGAGCTTAGACACCAGTGTCACATACTTTATTAGAGTAGGATTTACTATCTCACAAACTAAGTTGACCTGATTGACCACAAGCTGAGAGTCACTGTAAATTTGAATTACTCTAACCCTCAACTCCAATGCAAACTGGAGATTGAGTAGCAAGGCTTCATATTCGTCCATATTATTGGTTGCATCAAAGTTAAACTTCAAGCCATGCTCACTTGGTATCTATATGGGCCTATTAGAATTGGTCTGGCTTTTGACCCTTTATTGTTTGATGCCCGACCAACATACAAAACCCATGTATCTGGCTTGGGATCAAGACTTGATTGATCGAAGGTGCACTTAACAACAAAATATGCCAATGCTTGAGCTTAGATTACTGACCTCTATTGGAATGTTATTTCAAATTCACCCAACTCGACTACCCATTTTATTAATCTGCCTGAACACTCTGGTTTCTGCAAAATCTGTCGAAGTGGCTAATCTGTGAAGACAACTATCTAGTGAGACTGGAAATATGGCCATAGTTTCCTGGCTGAAGTAACAATCGCAAAAGTTGCCTTTTCAACAATCGAGTCTCTCTGCTACGCGCCATGCAACACCTACTCATATAATATACAGGCTTTTATTATTTCCCTTCTTCTCTTACTATTACAGAACTTACTGCCTCATCTAAAATTTTGAGATATAAGTAAAGGATTTCACCATCAATAACCTTCGTCAATAACAGAGGCAAGCTAAGATAGGACTTGAGCTTGTTGAATGTAGTTTGACATTCTGGGATCCATTCAAACTTCTTCGGCTTACCCAATTCATCTCTCTGAGTAACTGACCTCATAATCTTAAAGAATGGAAGGCATTTATTAGCTGATTTTGAGACGAACCTTTGAAGTGCTGCAACTCTCTTGACTAACCTTTACACATCTTTTATCAACTTTGAAGGTCCCATCTCTTCTATTGCTTTAATCTTCTTAGGGTTAACCTTTACCCCCTAATGGATACCATGAAACCCAAAAATTTTCCAAACTCCACACTAAAGATGCACTTCATTGGATTCAATCGCGTCTTGTTCTTCCTTATATTATTGAAAGCCTTATTGAGGTCAACTAAATGCTCTTCAACTTTCAAGTTTTTTACCATGATTTCATCAACATAAACTTCCAAATTTTTGCCAATCTGGGGTTAGAAAACAATGGTCACCAACCATCTTTTAATAGGTGGCACCGACATTTTTTAAACCAAAGGACATCATAATGTAGTAGTAAATTTCATCATGGACATAAAAAGAAGTTTTTTCTTCATTTTTTAACGCCATTAAAACTTGATGATAGCCTGAATATGCATCTGAAAGACTTAATCTCTCATTCTCGGAAGTAGCCTCAACTAATTTATCAATATTCGGCATCAGGTAGTAGTCCTTAAGACATGCCTGGTTGAGATTAGTGTAATCAATGCACATCCTCCATTTATCATTAGCCTTCTTGACTAAGACTAGGTTGGCAACCCACTCATAGTAATTAACTCTTCTTACAAAGCCTACTTGTAGGAGTTTCTCCACCTCCTCCTTAATCACCTTAAGTCTTTCTCCCCCGAAGAGATGATGTTTTTGTGCAACTAGCCTTTTCAAGGGATTGGTGCTAAGCTTGTGGATAGATACCGAGGTTAGGATCCTTGGCATATCTGTTGAAATCCAAGCAAACACATCTTTCTCTACTTAGAGGAAAGCTATTAACTCAGTCCTTTCTTTTAGGTTCAAGCGGGTGCCAATCTAACTTTTCTTGCTTGAATCTCTGTCATCAATCTGTACTTCCTCAACAGCTTCAACCGAAGCAACTCGAGTTTCCTCTTCTAGTTGATTATCAAGTATTTCTACTCCCATTACTTGTTGTTTATCTGAAACTTCCTATGGAGCAGCCTCTAGGACTTGAGGCACCTTCTTCTAAGGTCATGTAACCAAGGTAATGTAAAAATGTCTAGCCACCTCTTTATTACCTTTCAAAGTTGCTATTCCCATAGGTGTGGGAAACTTCATACATAGATGTGATTGAGAAACTATAGCTCGGATTTCTGCCAATGTAGGTCAGCCAATTACAACATTGAAGGAAGATGTCATCTTAATAATGAGGAATCGAATTAAAGGGGTGACATAATTTCGGCCATGCCCAAATGCCACATTAAGAGTAAGGACTCCTTCAACTAGAGCTGATAGGTTGTTAAAGCCATAAATAGGATGATCATATCTTTGTAACAAAGCTAGATTGAGGCCCAAGCTTTCAAAACAATGATAATACATTATGTCAGGTACATTAATCATGATGGAAGTAACCGACGGATCATTATAACATGTCACAACCCCATCATGGTCAACAAATGTGAAAATAATGGGCTGATTCTTCCACTCAACATCATCAAACTTTCTTTTTTGAGCTCGGTTCTAGTGCTGCACCTCTTTAACATACAACTTCCGTTGCTTAAAACTCAAGCCTCCCATTTCCAATCCACCTGTAATCATGTGAATAATTCTAGTTGAGGATGGGAGGGATGGAGGGGCTTGCTGGTACCCCACTCTTTCTCTGGTATTTGTATTACAAAAGCCCTATGGTTGTGATCCTTGTTCTCTGACAAACCTAGACTGATTTGTCTTTTGGATGTATTCATTCAACATTCCCCTCTAAGCTAAACCTTCCAACTCGGACTTCAGGTGATTGCATTCTTCTGTCGTGTGGCCATGAGCTTGATGGAAATCATAGTATCTAGTATGATCTCGTGTAGTGGCAAAGCTTTTCATTGTTGCTGGTCTTTTCAGTCCATCTTATTCTTGATTTGCGTGACTATCTACGACATCGACAGATGAAAAGAGGTCCACATAACTAGTGTTTTTTGCAAATTTTGTTAAAGAGCCACTGAATTTGATTTTCCAAATTTAGGTGTGAAGGTTGGTTTAGGCCTCGGTTCTAAATTGTCTTTGCCTGTTTTGTGCTTTGCCCTTCTTCCCTCCAAGCCGAGTTTTGGTTTCGAACCAACATTGGCTTCTATGACAGAGCATATTCTTTAGCTGTTATGAACTTTCGAGTTCTGTCATTAACTTCATCAAAGGTGGCAAGAGGATGCTTAATCAAATTTTCTCAGAATCTTTCATAGTTGAGGCCTTGAATTATAGTTGTTATGCCCACAACTTGATCAAAAGAACTAATCTCAAGAACCACATCATTAAACCTATTCATGTAATTTTTTAGAGATTCTCCATTTCTCTATAAAATGCTCATGACTTCAGATGTGGTTTTCTTAATTAACCTTATACTGGAAAATTTTGTAGCAAAGGCAATTGCCATTTTTGTGT